CAATGATTGAGGAGGTGTGGACTGACACTTTGTTTGTGAATATACATACAAGCACATGCTTATTCCAGTTTTCTATGCGCATGTTTATCACACATTATATTGGTTTTTTCCTAAATCTGATAAGCATAAATTATCAAAAACAAGACATTGCTCAACTGTCTTGGTGGCTAAACGGATGCTTTCCCATCATTGAGATGTAATTTAGCAATAACTGAATTCTTGTATGTGCTTACTGTCTTCCATCTCTATTTTAGATTGTTTCACCTCATCATTATATTCATGGGTCTGTTTCGAAAATGTCTGAAACCGTTTAACTAAAAAATGGTTTTTTTCTCATTTCACATAGTATATTGTTTCTTGTTTAATACTAGCTGAATTACTTACCCTATATCACTATGTAGGTTGCTTCAATGGATGCATGCAAACATTTAAAGATGGAAAAATATGACCAGTAATTTTCAAACAAAAGAATGTACTTTTTCTTCACTATATGTGCCTGTTCACGACTCATATAATAAATTTAATAACATTAATAACAGTAATATTATTACTTTCCACCAAATCCTTAGTGATGATAGTAAGCCTTGGAGTCATGGTGCTCCTTTTGTGATTTGGGTTACCATGAGTTCAAGTCAGAGAACTTACATGCAAAATTAAGACTGCATATGTTGACTTTTACCAGACCTTGCATTCTTGGGAGCCTGATGCATTGGGTCCTCATTTCTCATCATATTTTTTGATGATATCCTTTTGTCCCATGATTCAAGTTGCAACAGTGGTCTGATGTAGCAGTAACCTACATTCTCACTTAATTTCAGGTTTTGGTTTCTCATGCTTCTTGTAGTCCAACTTTCATCTTAATTGCAATATAGCCATTTTGCATCTAATTTAAGAGCGCATTCCAGATTATGTACTTTGAGTTGCTTATCTTTACAAATAGAACTCATGACTATGATCGTTTTACATATTGTATTTTAATCAATATATTCTTACACATCCTCTCTGGTTTTCCTTTTAAACTTAGTTATATTTTCTTTTTATTGTGACGACTCTCAAATTTGAAACAATACAATAGTCCTACTATTGTTGTCTCCTACCAGGATGACATTATTATCTCTGCCATTTACTTTCAGATGTATTACTCTATCCTATGTGAATTTCTACTATATGGATTACGCACATAATGTCTTCCTGTTTTTGGATTTTTTTCTTTTTATAAAATTTCAATTCTGCAGTATCAGTTTGCAGGTCATGATTGTGTTCTGATCAAATATTTATCAAAATTTTATTTATTTTGTTTATATGGATATTCGTTATTATGAAAACATTTGTGTTCTTTGAGAATTAATATTGGGTGAGTCTGGGTACAATGACATGGTTATTCCTGTGCAATGTGTATGATTTGAGTTTGTGTGGTGGAAACAATTGTACTGATATGGATAAAGCTTCATGAATTGAGCCTTCCTAGACATTGTATCGGCGGGAGCCTCTACGATGCATTCACCCTATTTGAGAATTTATAATGTTGTCATTCCGTAGGATACATATCCCTATGATTAGATATGATATCACATTAAAAGACCATAGAAATAAGAAAGTTCTTAATATTTGTCTATTGTTTCATTATCTCTTCACAATTTATTTCCATAACCTTCTATTAATATTTGAACATCAAGAACTTGAATATGCATATCTTATGTTATCTAAGCCTTTTGGAGTAAAAACGAACTTGAAATGTCATACGTACTTGTGAACTTTATCCAGATTCGCCAAACTGTTGAAGCAAGCATAGCTGCAATGGAGGAGGAAATTGCAGCAGCTGAACAAGAAAAGCTTGAGAAGGAAGAACTAGCTCTCAAGGCTCTTAGCAAACAGGAAGCTGTTATGGCTGCAGCAATGGAAGAGTCAAAAAAGCTACAACAAGAAGCAGAAGCTAACTCCAAGGTATTGTAAATTGGTCAATATTTTTAAACATCTTATTACTTACAAAATGAATCAGCTGAGCACGCCAATGTCTCTACTTTGCAGATGAGGGAGTTCTTGATGGACCGTGGCCGTGTAGTTGATGCACTCCAGTAAGTTTTGATGTTGCCATTTCTTTTCAGTTTCTGATGTGCTTACCTTAAAAATTGAAATGTTCCAACCTCAAATTGATTATTTATGATCCTGAATGTAGACTACAATATGATTTTTTTTTTAATTTCTTCGACCTTCTACCCTGGAATAATTTGAATATTATTCTCAAAGTATGTCTCACTATATTTTAACAAGAGTTCATTTACACCAATAAGCTTTACATCAAACAAAAGAAGTTTATGAAATTTTGGTAGTTAAAATCTGATCTCTTTCTTTTTGGTATTTGCATTCATTCATTCTTTCTTTCTTGGTTAAATGACAGGTGCGCTTAATTTTAAACTATGTGTTTTTTGTTTCAGAGGTGAAATTAATATTATCTGTGAGGATATCATGTTGCTAAAAGAAATAGTCGATGGCCGTGTGCCATTGAATGGGTCTCTTCGTTCGACAGCTTTGAGCATGTTGGCTTCATCAAGCTCATCATCCTATAGGAGCAAACGTTCATCAGATGGGGTTCTTGAGCTCGATGATCTTCCGGAGAAGTCTGCAATCACTGAGCAAGAACAACATGAGATTCAACAGAATGATAAAAGCAACCTCAGCGGCGGCATTCACGGAGCACAACCAGATGATGGCTGGGAGCTTTTAAAAGGTGGAGTATTGTGAAGCTAGACGAATGGAGTTACAATTTGTTTTCTTCCTGGATTTTGGTAGTTCAATTTTTTTTTTTTTTCCGAAAAGTTACGGTAAGGTTTAAAATCATATTGCTGATTACTACTACTACTACGTAGCTGCAAACATGATGAGGTTCATGTGGTTAATCTCTTGCACGCCCCAGCCGAAGTTTGTGAAGCACATGCAGCTATTGTTGCAATTTTTGGTTTCTTTCTTTCTTTTTATTTTTTTGGATGAGATGCGAAAATGTCATCGTGGTGTTATGGACTTTGTTTTGCTCAAGACATGTATCTGTGGTACCATGACCACTTACTCGTTAAATCCATGATCATTCTTATTGCCCTCAAGAACTTGTTGGAGTGTCACCTTTGGCTTTAACTGTTCCACGAAGCCCTGATCAGAGTTCTATAATCGATGGTTTCAGTTTTGTCAAATTTGAAATTAGATCAGTTCCGGACATTTTGGAACCCTCGATTTCAATTTTGATTGATAATAATAATAATAATAATAAAAACCTTACTCTACCAAGATTCGAACCCAGGTTATTAGACTAGTTTATAAGAATTATAAGAATAACTATTACACCATGAAACACATTTATTTTAATCTTTTTTTCGTTTTTAGTTGATTCGAAATCAAATTAGAATCATTAATTCTAATTCCAATTTCTAAGAACTAGAATTGAATCATATGGTCTTTGTTTTCATTCTACTCATAATCGTCAAATCATTCAATTTGATTTTGGTTTTGAATCAAGTCGTTGTCAAGGCTAATGCGTATCCTTGCACCCTCTTGATGGCGTCTTAATAGTCTGTTGATCTTTTGTTGGAACTTGAATTACAATATCTCTATGGCCTCTACTAATACGTTTGGGTTAGTTTGTAGCTTAGTAGCTCTTGAAGTCCATTAACTTTGTTGAAGATTGGTGCGATGATGTTTGGATCTTGGAAATCTGCCTCTTAACACAATCTTTCTTGTGCACTGTTTCTCTCGTGATAGGTCAAATGACAAACATCACATTGGCATATTCTTCACTAGTGTTAGCCATTGCAGTCTTTTACCTTACGCAAAGGCCTTCTAAGTCTTCACCTCTGTATATTAAGTCAAGTCACTACCTCGATATCTTCATCAATTGCATCACCAAAATCAAGTGTGCGTCTTAAAGCTGTCTTCGACTCTGGTGGCACACGAGATGTGTCTTACACTATCAGATGAGAAAACTAGGAACATGGTATCGCTCTTATCTTTGCAAGTGTTATGTCATTGACCTCCATCCGATAAAAGTGTCATGAGGTTGATGCTTTTGCTTTATGTGCTATCTTATGAGAAGACTCGATTCATATGACTTGCATGTTTCACGAAGATTAGCCGTCGTGTCCGCTTTTGCACGAGTCAATCCTCCGTTAAGCCCGAAGCTCATCCACTTGATCTTTCAATGCAATTCATTGACAATCACGTCACTTAGTTTTTGTAACGTTATCTTTGCTACCCTTGTCCTTCGGCTTTAAAGAGAGAGCCGCAAGGTTGAGTAGACATGCTTCTCATAAGCATCTCCTTGGTGATGTGCATGTGATCTATTGTACAAGAAGCATCCCATTGAACTCCATGGGACCAAGATTTGATCATCTTAGGATTGCCATTAACAGTTTGTCATCACGTCTTTCTTGTTTTTCAGTAACAAATGCTCTGGTACCACTTGTTGGGAAAAACCTGCTAAAGCGAAATAATTCTTTCTCTCTTTGTGTATCAAAATAGGTTTCTCATCAAAATACCAACTTGATATCCAAATGCAAATATCAACCAGCACAGCATAAACAATAGAGCAAAAATCAATCACACAGTGAGACCAAATCTTTTAACGTGGAAAACCCAATGTGAAAAAAACCACGGAACCGTAGCCCACCTCAAACTTCCACTACCAATAGTAATGATAACAGGTTTACGCATGTGCGCACCACGTGGAGTTAGTTACTCGTTTGAATGTGCGCACCTATACCTAAGCCCTGTCAAGCTAGTTTTGCTTAAGTTAAATGATCACCAGCAATTTTTCATAAATTTTAAAAGTCTCACTTATAAAGATTTGAATTAGGAAATCATAAATTCTACAAACTTAAGCCAATGGATTCAATATATTTATAACTTTAATCATGATAAATTCACATTAAGTCATGAGTAATATTGCATTGACCCACTCTTTTAGTGTTTAATTAAAAGTATCTTCTTTTGATAGCTTCATCAAGATAGAAACATAAACACAAACATAAGGAAGCTTAAAATGACAAATTCTAGAGCAGCTCCCTACAATAAAAAGTACCATGGTGTGTTCGTTGATGTCTATAGAAAAAGCACATCATTTGAAAGCTTGCAGTAATACTGTAAAGATACCAGCACACAGGAAAACCACAGTCGGGGGTAGTAAGCATCTATGGAAGCACAGCACATAAAGGGGCAAGCACAACACGGGTTAATGCCAGCAGCAGCAGAAACAATTACCGGTGCATCTTCCAGAGATCAACCTCCCCTGGCTTCCCTCCTGGTGGCATCGTGAAGGATGTCGATGTCGACCCCGTCAGGAGGGAGTTGGACATAGCGTACCACTGATCCCCTGATGAAACAATTCCGGACCGACAACTGCAATAAACCAGAGAAGTTTGAGCTCAAAGCAAAGTGACGTCGTTCTTAAAAATACATGAAGCCATTAAAAAATGAGAACTGAAAATGGTGCAAATGTAATGGTCTTTATCTCGAAGTTCTATTCTCTTACCCAACTAAGCAGTTCAATTGACAGAACTGAAAATGGAGTTCTATTCTCTCATCAAGTCACAACCTGGTGAGAGATCTAACTAATGGAAAATAAGACTCCTAGGCTCTTGTTGCCTTACATATGTTGAAGTTTGTAGGTCCAGTGAATGCATCAGATGTTTTGTTCATCAGAATAATGGGTGAGTCCATGCAATCAGATGCATTTGCGAGAGGAATGATGCAAGGTGACTAAATTTTACCAGAAAGGCTCACAAGCAATGATACAGGTGGTAAAAATCTTCACAAATCCAGTCAGGACACTAGGATGATCCTCAAATATACCATTAACATGAAGCAAAATCCCAGTGCAACTCTGTCCCACCAATTTCCTATAAATCCTTGCAAAACCTCTTCAATTTGGCCTTTGAAGAGTATTCCACAAGCTCACATCGTGTTGCAGGCAAAGACGAAATAAAGTGATATGAAAAAGCGTACAGTATTTCAATAACAAACATGACCAGACAACAAGAAAGAAAGAGTATGTCTAATAGGAAAATGATTCATGAGATATCCTCAAGTGAAAATTTATCAATCATATGCAAATTATATATGATTATAGTTATAGAAAAGCACGTACAAATTTGATGATTTCAACATTCTATAATGCGACTTTAATATTGACAACATGGCGAACTTATTTCAAAAATTAAAGCAGATGTATTGAGCTGAATTGTCCCGCTCAAGAGAGGACAAATGATGTCGCCTCACTTTAGGACAACAATGTTGGTATGCTACAAATTAATCAGCTTAGCACCCCATTCAGACCAAAACAGGTATAATGATGAACAGAGGAAAAATGGATAGGGGACTACCACTACTAAACTTTTTGTAACAATGAGAATATACTATATCATCGAAATTTTTTCTAGTTAAGAAATCCCCATCTTCAAAAAATCAAACAAGAAACTCGACAGGGGCCTGCAGCAACTTAATTTTTCAAGACATTGAGAATATATCATATCATCCTACATTTTTTCCAGTTAAGAATCGCCCGCTTTCGAAGAATCAAACAAGAAAACTAGATAGGGGCCAGGGCCAGCAGCAACAAACTTTTCATGACATTGGGAATATATCATATCATCCATCCTTTTTCCAGTCAGGAATCGTTGTATTCAAAAGATCAAACAAGAAAACAAGGATAGGGGCCTGCAGCAACTAAACATTTCATGACATTAAGTATATATATCATATTGTCCAACTTCTTCTAGTCAAGAATTCCGTCTTAAAAAATGTCAAACAAGAAAACAAGGATATAGGCCTGAAGCAACTAAACTTTTCATGACATTGATAATATATCATATCATCCAACTTTTTCTGGTCAAGAAACCCACATCTTCTAAAATATCAAACAATAAAACACAGATAAGGGCCTGCAGCAACTAAACTTCTCATAACACTGAGATCCCAAGTCCTTTCTAGTCAAGAATCCCCCATCTTTAACAAAAGCATCCAGACATTTTCCTGGTCTTGTTAGGACTCTCTAAGGTTGGAAGAAAACTAAATGCAGTTTACAACTCCACTTTACCCTGATACAGAATGTGTCTCTTAGAAAGAGACTGAAATCTTTTGGGAATCTTATGGTTACAGGTTAAGTCTACTCCGTAGAGATGATAAAAGATAATAGTCACCCAATAGATCTTTCCAATTTGAGATTCCCAAATTCCTAAATCATCAATCAGATCCCTGTTTGTGCTCTAGTATGCATGATAATAGACTTATTAAATTAGAACTTTAAAGTTTAATATTTACATATAATCAGAAAGTTTAGACTTAAACTAATATGGTTCAACTCTAGATATAGCCACCGAACAAAGTAAGACTAGATTTTGAATAGACCTAATCGTAACTGGTCTATATTTTTCAGATGCAAAATAGTAAAAACAACAAATAAGCCAGTGATTTAAATTCTGAAACTAACAAGCATAAATATAAGCAAATTCAGATAAGTTGAGTATTGGGCATGCCCATAATAAATAATATCTGCAAATGCTACAAGTATGGCTTTGGTCAGCCTGTTATGATAGAATAGGCTATCGATCTCTGGAGTCTGGAATACCTTAATAAACCAAATGGTAAGAAAAAGAAACAGAAGCAACTATTCCCAAATCACAGCCTTCAGGGAGAAAAGGACACTCAAGTTGGATCTTACCATAAAAGGGCATACCCAGAGGCTCCTACCAATGCAAGGTCTGGAGAGGGTCAGTCAATGTACACAGCTTTATCTTTAAATATTTAAAGAGGCTGTTTCCGTGACTTGAATCCTCGTCTCCCAGGTCGCAAAGGAGGAACCTTACCTTACCATACTGAAGATAATGTTTCACCCATAATAGACAAATTCATTATCCAAAGTCAGATTATGAACTAATGACTAGAGTTGGTATCTTGGCCTAATATAGTTGAAGATCATATTTGGCGCTTATTGTCCTAATATTTAAGTCCATAATTTGGAAAATAGTTACTGTACTGGTAATTAAGCCCACTCCAAATAGTTGAAATTATGGACAGTTCAATGCACCAATGTACGTCAATAGAGATTATTGCAGATACTGTATACATTCGAAGCAGGAAATGTGACTGGTTGAAGCAAAATCAAGATTCCATTTCACTGTGGGAACTTTGCTCTCTTTTCTTTTATTTTTTTGCTCTATCTTCCCGGTATTCTTCTTTTCTCCATCCTTCTTGCTGCTGTGATTATCAATTCGATAGCAGCATATAAAATAATTTCAATTCCAAAGAGATCCTTAACGGAGAAAGATAAGTGTAGTCTAGGACCACAAGGTTACAATATAAAACTGTTGTCAGTTGAGCAGATCTCCCCAACCTATCTTGCACTCTTTTATCTTTTCTCCTGCATAGATCTTCAAATGTTTCATTGCTTTACAGTTTTTTTGTTTTGTGTCATTCCTAACTTGGTTTTGATCTTTACATGCAGAAGTTTGAGTAAAAAGTTTTTATCTACATATGACAAAAAGGATCGTCAATATGGTTATGCTCTTAAGCCAAGAAAAAGGAATGTTCATACCAGGAAAATCCTTATGAGGAGACAGACAATGGAGAGTGGGCATTGTCCAAGTTTCACTAAACTGCTATATTGTGTATTACACTTCATAATTACACTTCATATTTAGTGTACTTCTCTCGTTTCTTTCCTTTTTGCTAATTACACTTCATAATTTAGGTCTGTGAATTATGAGGTGTTGCTTCAATGCCTTTATGTGTGTTCTACGGTAATGTTTAATTTTCTCAACTCACTTCGACCACCCTCTCCTCTCCCTCAGGTTGCTCAAACCTATCTCTTTCCACCTTCTAATCTAATTGGTTTGACACAGATGATAAAAGTGAATTCGATTAATGAATCCAACAAGAAGAGGTTTGGCATAACCACAATGAGCTTAGATCACCAGACCGATAAATGAATCCATTGAACCAATACATCTTACTTAAGGACCAACTCTTCTGGCAACTGGATCTCATTCATCACCTTAATGAAAAATAAAAAGGACAAACAACACATTGCAAGCTAAGATTGTTCTCCATTTCAGTCCCGCATCAAAATGTCCGTGACAGAATCACCCACGACAAATAAAATAATTTTTTGACAAGGAAAACTGGTTTTAATTGCTCAGACGAAAAAAGAATGATTTTCCAATCGCCAATAGACGTTAGGATCATAAACCCTAAACCTAACATTAGCAGCGTAGACACCAATAGGCAGTCCACGAGTCAAGATTACGGATATGCATATGCATCCACGCCAGCACACACAAAAATCAAACAGAAATCCACAGAGAAAACTGGAAAAGGAAGAAGAAGAAAGAGATGGGGCGAGGGTACCATGTGAGGATACTTGTCTTGGTCAACGACCCGGATGTTTTCGAGCTTGATGTTGAGATACTGATCGACGGAGTGGAGGGTCCCTCTGATGGCGAGATCGTTCTTCAGCTCCACCGTCACTTCTTTCCCAACCAACTCCTTGAAGTAGGAGAAGAAGAGCTGCAACAAAGGCGAAAGCAAGTCCAAATGAGTTGACATCAACCAGAAGAGAACTGCGGAAGATACAAAGAACAATTGCGAAGGGAAGTAACAGTACCATCTTGGCAAGGTAGATGGAGAGAGGGAGACGGAGAGCGGAGCGGGCAGGGAGGCGAGGGAGAGGAGAACGCAGGGCACGGTGTCGCGGCGGCAGAAGGCATATAGACCAACTTGGAGCGAACCGACTTTAAGCTAATTACCCGATCCGAGTCCGACTCGATCGAATGGCCTCTCATCTCAACACAATTGACGGATAAGATTCGGGTTCGGATCCATATTTCTCCAATCGAATGTTGGATACTAAGCCCATATCACTTACGCCTAAAAGTGATCCATTAACTATAGATGGGCGACCTTTTGTCTGATTCAGATCCGATAAGAATAAATCTGATTTGTGTTGATTAATAACCACCTTATCGGATCGGACCAAACGAAAAACCCTGATCCGCATGCGATGGGAGTCCTAATTATTCAAGTTCAACCGACTTCATAGCAAATGCACATGCATGATTATACAAGAAACCAGCTTCGATCAAAATAAATCCAACTATATTTCATCGATTCAATTACTGGATCATAAGAAACTCACTGAAAGCAGCGTTCATGTACTTATCAAATGTTCTCCACATTTAGATGATTATTGATGATGAATTAAGGCCAACGCAAACTGATTGATCTCTCAAGTGATTCCTCCAAACATCGACCAAAATTTGAGATTCGTACATGTTGCCCATGATAGTGTTAACTGTGGGGCAAATACCGAGCTGTGTTGCAGCAGTGGAAGGAAGCTCAGCTAATTACCTTAGCTACAACTCCTGCACCAACTGTCCTCCCACCTTCCCGGAGGGCAAATCTTTGTCCTGGAACATAAAACAAAGCAATTATGCTTTTATAATATTCAGAGCACTGAACATTAAATAACTTATCTATAGGCAGGTTGCGCATGGGTTGGGTTTCAAGAAAACCCCTATCCAAGGGAAAAGAAAAGGAAAAATGAATTGCATAATTTGGTAAGGAAACCGATAACACGTAACATATATAAATAAACAAATAAGAGGGTCCTTGATGTGGATTCAATTACTAGAATTAGACTACTAAACTTAAAAAGGCTTGGAAGATATCCAGAATAAGATTTCTTCAAGCCTGTCCAGCAGATGTAGTAAATGCATTTTAAAAAAAATGGATCTGCTGTATCAGCTACTGAATGAAGAGCTAGAAGTTAAGACAGAACAGTTTTATATAATGCTGGGCCCTTATCCTAACAAATGAGCAGGTTAACAACATAGCTTCTGGGAACATGTCAGTTGAGCATAATTATTTTTCGTTGTCAAAAGGATCTGGTTGTCTAATTTTCATTGGGAAATAAATAGTGATGTAAATTGTGAAAGACATTGAGGAAACATTCTTATTAAAATAACTACCATCTTTCTCGAGAAATTTAGGTGTAGATACACCAAGATAAAATTACCTGCTTCAAGGGGAACAGGTGAGATCAATTCAAATGTAGCTGTGACGTTGTCACCAGGCATCACCATCTTTACACTTTCAGGGAGCTCCACTTTACCAGTAACATCTGCAGTTCTCATGAAGAACTGGGGTCTGTAGTTTGAGAAGAAAGCAGTGTGGCGACCACCTTCATCCTTCGTCAGTACATAAATCTCTGCCTCAAATTTCGTGTATGTCTTTAATGTACCAGGCTTGCATACTACCTACACTCATTTCGACAATCATACCTCCAGTTAACTATATATTTAGTGACAAATCACTACATAAGTTAACCAAATATTGAAGGAATAAGAACATAAATCCAAAATTTTTGCAATGAACGAAAAGCACCAATGGAAAAATGGACCCTGAAGTCAAGTTTCAATTCCCTTGAGACTTGCATGTATGATGTATACCTATACCTTTGGCTTTACATTTTAACATGTTGGGATAGAGTCGAGAGAGACTCCGTTGATATGCATGAGTGTTGCTCATCAGTATCATATTGAAATACTAAATAATTGTTGTATGTTGCAAGACCAAAATATGGTTGTTATCTCCAACAGTTCACAGAAAAAATTATGACCATTGATGCCAACCTGCCCTCGTTGCACATCTCCACGCTTTAGTCCACGTAGTAGAAGGCCAACATTGTCGCCAGCCTACATAAGGAAAAACCTTATGATCCATTCTATATAGGGATACTGAAAAAGAATAAAATGCCAAATCATCTATTTACTTCTCCATGATCCAAGATCTTCTTGAACATCTCAACACCAGTAACGGTAGTTTTCAAAGGCCCACCCTGGTAATAGAAATATGTTAGCTATATCTGGCATATTTCTAGCATAATAGAAGAATCCTACTAGAAAGTATGTCATAAACTAAAGTATGAAAAACTGATTTCCTGCTAAAAATAAACAAGGACTATGTATTAGTCACAAATTTATGCAGCCGATAATTGTCAAGAATTTTTCTGACAAAGCATTTATTTACCTGCATCAGCCCTAAAACTTCAACTTCTTCTCCGGTTTTTATTGTTCCTTGCTCAACTCTGCCGGTAACAACAGTTCCACGTCCCTGCAGACATCAACATTATCCCAAAAAAACTCCCTTTAAACTAGCCATGCCAACTTTATAGTAGAAATTAGCATCAGAACAACATCAATCAGGAACTGATAATAAACATCTCTTGACAAGAATAATCTTAGGGGAGTTGCATCAAAAAATGAGACCAAACAGATATCTTAGTTCTAACTTCCAACCATGAAATCAATGACAAAGCTGTTGCTTTATTTGATGAATTCTTAATTACAGTCAGGATGATGTTGCATCAAAAAATGAGACCAAACAGATTTCTTAGTTCTCACTTCCAACCATGAAATCAATGACAAAGCTGTGCTTTATTTGATGAATTCTTAATTACAGTCAGGATGATGTATGTCAGCACATCAATAGTGATGATTCTTTTTATGGGTTATTGATTTAACCCTTGAAATAAAATCAAGATAAGTTATCAACTGATTTTTGGTTATCTTGTGAAAGACTGTCAAGAGGGATTCCATAAACAGCACAGAATAATTTCACAGCGAATGTCGTTCCTCTCACAGGGTATGGTTAGAACCTATATCTGTTCAAAGAAGAATGGACCAACAAAAAGTGAGATATTTATCAAACAGAAACTTGTACAGCCGGGAGACTGAGAAGACTAATTGTCTGATATCAGTAAACCAGTATAATAAACGATGTGCAAGTCTACAAGAGGTGTCTTATCTTTGCCAATAATATCTTAACTTTTCAAGTTAATTCAACAATCATAGAACTTAGTAATTTTGACTTCATCTAATTTCAGTATTCTAATATTTGGAAGGAGATCATATATTTTTGGTAAAAATATTTGGAAGATTCATAGCACAAACAACTAATGCTACCATAAGCAATTGCATTTAAAGAAAATAACATATTAGATGCTGCAGCTAAAAGGAGCATGAATTATGTGTAGCAATCAAGCATGGAAAATTAATTTTTATATTTGAAGCTTTGAAAGATTATCATTTTTTCATTGAAAACAGATATCTTCTCATAATCCCAAGACAAAGAAGTATGAGAGAACATATTCCTTGTTAAAGATAAATATAATGTAAATTCATTTCTTCTGATGATCATCCAAGTAACAAAATTATTGCATTTTCAATTACATTCAAATCTTCAACATGCATATATTATCTTTTTAATCTTGTGCATCCACAAACCAAAATATTATATGCAAATCTATTTGGAAAAAAAAAACAGCTGAAACACAGAAACAGAGAGCAGCAGCAGTAGCAGCCTTGAAAACTGAAAAGGATATGTTTTGATGGTTAACCATTCAGACTTAAAATTCTTTAAATACATCATAATTACTAAAATGAACTATCTCCTGAAAGAAGAACGAGAAATATTTCATGCAGAAACATTGTCATGAACTTCAGAAATTTTCGTATTAACTAGAGAACACATAGTGCAACAAATATAAGTATAAAAATCATATGATTTAAAATTACTTACTATGCAATCTTATTAAAAATATTCAATGAATTCTCAAACAATAAGGTTAAGTTGGATGATAGCCAAAGAAACATGTGATTTACCTGTATTGAAAATACATCTTCAATTGGCATGAGAAAGGGCTTGTCAAGTTGGCGTATTGGATCTGGTATATATTCATCTACTGCATCCATTAATTTTAAAATTGCCTTCTTTCCTATTTCTTCATTTGTACCCTGCAAAGCGGACAATGCTGATCCTTGTACAATTGGAATCTCATCCCCAGGGAACTTGTAAAAGCTAAGCAGCTCTGCAGAAAAGCAAAAAGAATATCATGCATAACTCTACAGAAATAGATCTTTAAAAAGAAACAGAGGTCATGAAAAATTTTTATTCTGTCATGCAACATCATACCTCGAAGCTCCATTTCTACAAGTTCTAGTAACTCAGGATCATCAACAGCATCAACCTTGTTCAGGAAGCATACAAGTGATGGCACACCCACCTAAATGTAACAAAAGATAAACAAGAACTGAATTAATCTAGAGAAAGATTATTCAGACAATCCATTAAAAAAAAAGTTAATTCAATGTAATGTAATCATAAGAATCTGGAAAATGATCGTTGAACAAGAATAGGATATTACCTGCCGAGCAAGCAGAATATGTTCCTTAGTTTGAGGCATTGGTCCATCAGGTGCCGAAACAACGAGGATCCCACCATCCATTTGAGCAGCTCCAGTGATCATATTCTGTTTCAGAATAAAAGATTAAGGCACACAATAAAGTTGTACTCCCACTCCCTTGTTTTACTTGTGGATACTATTAAATATGTTTTTGATAAGAAATATGGCAAAAAGGATGTTTACATCAGGACAACATTTAAAGCAAATAGGCTACTCAGCAACCACAAATATCACCTGATGACAACAAAGTAGTACTCAATTTTCCTCATGGAATACAAAATTTTCTGCAATGATCTAGAGCTTTAAATAAGACTAGGATTAAATGAAGGATTTGCAGGATTTTGAAAATATATGTGTAATGTAATTTCAGCATCTACCACTGAAACTTCAATACAAGTTGATTATGAGATCATTTCTGGACTAGAGAACTATACGTTGAATTCCCCAAGGAAATTATTACCTTCAACTGATGTCAAAAACTTTTTCATGTTGCTGGACTTGAAACTTCTGACCGGAACTATCAGTTATATTGCCAGTCAAGCAATAGTCCAAGAGTCCATATATAGACAATGAAATTAAGCAGTACTGATTGACAGTTGCGAGCAGTAGAAGTTCAAGAAAGAGATTGTATGAGCATTCAATTGTAATGGTCACAGAGGTACTTGTAGCAGCTATGGTGGGTGGCAGCATGGATGATGGCCAGCCAGGCAGCAGCAATAGTGGCACTAGTGGTGGTGGCAACTAAAGTGATGCAAGCAAGGTGGTGACAATGGTAAGCTTGCAGATGGGTGACAATGGCAGTTCACAAAAATGTTGGTGATTGGTAGCAACAGCAGTGTGGGAATGAGGGGGGTGGTGGTGGTGGCAACATGAGAGGGGTAATTGTGGTGATGGTGAAATTGTTGTTCGAGACAATGATGAGCAAGAATGATAATGCCATCAATAACCATAAAATTGGAGGTGGTGGTTGCGATGAGGCGATAACCTGGACAGTGGCAATAGTGTTTTCAAAAATCCCTTTGTAAATGTACTATCAAACAACCAAAAATTTGCTAAAAGGAATTTTTTTCCTTAAAAGCTCTTAAAGGCCTTTTCATACTTGGTCTAGTAGAATCCACTCCAGTTCCTAGCACTTGTTCCTAGCACATGTCTTTCCATGTTCACTCTCTCTCCGAATGGCTTCTAGCATGAAGGATCTCATGGAAAGGCACACACATCAAAATGTTCAATCTACAAAGTACAAACAATTGGATTTCACATTTGTTTTCTAAGAATCCTTAGCACAGAATTCTTGATCTGATGAATTCTTAAACTATTATTATGTTTGGAAAATACAAATCTACAATTAGGCATCTAACTGATAGGTCATAAATGATGTCATGACCATAAACTTGTGATTATGCACAAAATTACACAAAGTGGCTAAAACAAGTACAATAAATAGTTGCACACATTACCTTAACCAGTGATTTCAATAGGCGCTCGGGCGCTCGCCTAGGCGCTCGAGCGAGGCAGGGCGAGGCCCGAGCGCCTCGCTTCAACGAGGCACCGCCTAGGCGCTCGCCCGAGCCCAAGCGTCGGGCGCTTCGGGCGAGCGCCCGGGTTAAACCGGGCGACCGAACCTGTGTTTTACATCTGGTTCGGTCTCCGGTGCTTTAGTTGGATCAATCGAACCAACTAAATCACCAATAGGCTCCCTCTCACGATTTTCCCGACTTCCCCAACCCTAACACTCGCGATTTTGCCGTCGAGATTTCTTCTCCGTTGTCGTTGCTCTCTGCTGCCGCCGCCGTTGCCATTGTCGCTACTCGCCGCTGCCACAATCGTCGCTCATCGCTGTTGTCGTCGCTCGCCGCTCGCAGCTCCCACTCTCACTCCCGCTGCCGCTCGCAGCTCCCG